CAATCTGTTTCTGTAAAGATTTACGGCATTGGAAGCTCTATGGGGGCAGCTCTACTCTGTCCTGTAGGGTTGATATGAGTTGGAATTGACTTGATGGCAGTGGGTTTGTTTTTTCTGTTTGTTTGTTTTAAGCATGACTAGTTTGACTGCTAGCTGTACCTTGGAAGAAAGGGCTGCTGATCTTCTAAAGAAATCTGCCATTGAAAATCCTGTGGAGCACAATTCTCCTCTGAAACACACACGGGGTCAGCATGAGTCGGGACTGATTCGACAACAACTGGTGTTTGTTTTTTTTAAGCATGACCTATGTTTATTCTTTTTAAGTTTATATTTAAGGAAAGAGCCAAATGGTCTTGTACTCATTTGATTTTCATATAAAAAAGAGGCATAAAGGGTGGAGAAGCAGCTGAGAAAGGAAAAGCAGGTGCAATGTGATACAGAAACAGAGACAGAGACAGACAGAGAGGGCATGCGATCGAGAGGGAGACCAGCAAAGGCGTCAAGACAAGCTTCAAAACAGGGCTGCGTCGTGCCTCTCAGAGTGAAAAGAACAACCCTCCAGATTCAAAAGGTCCCATTTACATGGACTTTCCTATGCTAAAAATCAGAGGTCTGTGCCTTTCGTTTTAAAAAGAACACAATCTTATCATATAATAAAAGAAAAACATGTCACTTGGGTCTTTTTAGGATACAAAGTTTTCAGGGAGCTCTGGTGGCATAGTGCCTAAGGCATTTGACTGCTGACCAGAAGGCTGGTGGTTCAAATGCACCAGCCACTCCTCAGAGGGAAGACTGGGTAATCGCTTCCAGAGAGGTACTGCCTTGGAAACGCAAGGAGGGGTTGCTATGAGTCGGGACAGTGAGTTTGGTTTTTCTTTTTTTTTTTTTTTTAACATAGTTCTCAATCATAATCAATCAATCTCAAGCACTGGGTTTTCAAAGTTACAGGCAACAAAAAGGACAGGCCCTTGCAAGCTGTCAAAGGAAGGGGTATGAGCTTCAGGTGAAGTAAAGCACCATTACCCCATCCTCTGTTCTAGAATCTTCCACGGCCCCAGCCTTAACCACACATAGGCCAACTTCCCTAGCCACTGCTAACAGTGGCCCCTGCAATGTGGGCCAATTAAAGACTCCCAAGAATCAGTAGTTAGGCTCCGACTAGCTGATGCCAGGTGTGAGAACAAGGAAAGCATGTAAAACTGGGGGCAAAGGGAGTGGTAGGCAGGAGGTGATCAGCAATTTCCACCGGGCTCCATCTGCTCGAGTGTGAGGAGGCAGGAAAAGCTGGTGGAAAATCGGAAGAGTTGTGCAGAGAACAGAACCAGATAACCTGGGTTCCAATGCAGGATCCACCACTTAATGTCTGACCTCTCAGCGAATTGTAACCTGCCTCACAGCATTCTTGTGAGGATGGGTTAACACATATATAATACTTGGAACAGGGCCTGGTACATGCCAAATGCTCAGTAAGTGTGAAAGTTGGACAGTGGAAAAGGAAGAGGCCTAAGAACTGATGTACGTGAACAGCAGTGCTGGTAACGAATACTGAATACACCGTGGACTGCCAACAGAACACACATCAGTCTTAGAAGAAACACAACAGATTGGACTGACCCAGTAGCTGTAACCATGGACTCAAACATGCCAATGATCGAAGAAGGCGCACGATTAGGCAAAGTTCGGCTGTAACACATAAGGCCACCGTGACTTGGAACCAACTTGATGGCAACTAAAAACAAGAACAACATTCTTATCACCATGTTGCTACAATTTAAGTTCCACGAGGACAAAGATTTGGGGCTGTTTTGTTCATGCCATGCCCCGGAATCTAGAACTATGCCAGTACATAGTAAATGCTTGATCGCTATTTGCTGAATGATCAGTGATGGAAGGTGCCACACAGTCCTAAAAAGTTAGAGACCGTGGAAACAGTCTTCTGCTGTCCTTGTCTCTGCTCTTGCCCGCCCCTCACCACCACCACCACCACCAATCCGCCATCAAACATCTGGAGTGGGGTCCCATCAGAGCCTAAATCAGAGCATGTTTCTTTCCTGCATATGTACACGCTATTCAGCACGTCTTCAGGGTAAAAGCCCAGTTTGCTCCTACAGCTGCCCAGACCCTACATGCACTGGCTCCTTCCAACCCCTCTGCCCTCTCACTCCAGTCACAATGACCCCCTGCAGCTCCTCTGGTGGAGCCTGCTGCTGGTTCCCCAGGTATTTGCACATGGCACTCCGCTAGGAATCCTTCAGCTCTCAGCTCTGGTCTCAGCTTCGGGGAATCTTAGCTGATGTTCTTCCCCACTCACATCAGCTCCTCCACTTCACACGCCCACAACTCCATGCCCTTTCCCTCTGTGACACCTGTCATAGCTGTCATAGCTTGTAATTCTATCATGTGCTTGATTGATTAATCAACATCTCACTGCCCCCTAGCCCATGAGCTGCGTGAAGAAAGAGATCTTAACTTCCTCTGCTCCTCTTCGTTGTATTTCAGCATTGAGCACAGTATACAGCACATAGTAGGTGGTCAACAAATACTTGCTCAAAGAATCCACTTGTAGGATGAACTGACTAAACAAAGAACTCTTGGACCTGATTTCCCAAGGCCAGGTTCTTCCTGAGTTGAATCTCCTGCCTGGTTTTATGCAGTGTCCCAGCACCCTCCTCATTCAATTCCCTTTCTCTAATCTGTTTTAAATTATTTTCTCTCTTTCTTACTACCAAAAGCTGTGACTCAAACACATAGATCAACAGCAACCTCCAAGTCAGGACATTCCCATCCCAAACAGATCAACTAAACAATAAGGATGTGAAGACATTTCTTCTCAAAAAAGCAACGTCCAGGCCATGAAAGGCCATGACATATATACATATATATGTGTGTGTGTGTGTGTGTGTGTCAATTAGGAGCTCTGGTGGTATAGTATCTAGGGCATTTCACTACTAACCAGAAGGCTGGCAGTTCAAACCCACCAGCCACTCCTTGGAAGGAAGAGTGGGTCATCTACTTCCATAGAGATACTGCCTTGGAAACCCAAGGAGGTGTTGCTAATGAGTCAAATTGACTCAGTGGCAGTGAGTTTGGTTTTTTGGTTATATGTCAGCTGCTTTCCAGCTTTGGACAATAGGCAGTACAAGACTGTAGAAACATACAAGGTGAGCCCACATCCATTCCAGCTCTCTGCCTGGGACAATTTCTCTATCACACTTGGCATCTAAGCAGAACATGGTGGTCTTGTCGGCTGAGGAGGTGGAGTTAGGAGTCCCAGGCTATGGAAGCAGCTGGCTTCTGCAGGCAGGACACTGCAAGGAGGAAGCTGCCTGGGGAGTCCTTGGTCAAGGGCTGGGATGTGCATGTACAGAAGACTTGCTAGCTTTACCAGAGAAAGGCTGTTGTGAGGCAGAACGGGGGAGAGGACAGTAAGAGGGTGAGCAGGGCAGGGCCATTGGGAGTTCTGGCCCAGTCTGAGGAGAGATACCTCCCCACCAAGCCAAAACACACCTCATGATGGAGGGTATGCCTTCGAGTAAGGGTTATTCCACCCTAACAACACCTAAAACCAAGCCTCAACTAGACCCACAGAGGAGACAGTTTGAAGGCTGAGCTCCCTCAAGTTAGATGGGTAACAGAAAAACCTTGGCTTTCCTCAGGTCCATCTAAGAAAGCATAAAATCAAGCTCATGCAAGTTGGAGGTGATCAGTCAGTAACTGAACTGCCGTTAGAGGAAGATAACAAAATCTAGAGTCTTTATAATGTTCTGTACACATTATCAACACAATGTCAGTATACTATCAATAATTACTAGACAAGCAAAGAAACAGGAAAGTATGACTCACAGTCTAAAGAAAAATCAACCAACAGAAGCAGATCCCAGGATAGCTGAGATGTCAGATTTAACACAAGCAACTGCCAGGATGTATAAGTGCCAATATCATCACAGAAGCTCTGACACCAGGAATGTACACCCAAATCACATGGGAAGTACCTTGAGTTTTATTTTTAATTACACTTGTCTGGGTTCTACCCGGGAGCTCTGGTAGCATAGTGGCTAAAGCACTTGACTGCTAACCAGAAGGCTGGCGGTTCAAACCCACCAGCCACTCCTCAGAAGGAAGGTTGGGCCCATGCAATTTCTAACCAAATAGTTTCAGGGAAGGCTCAAGAATCTTTATTTTCAACAATCACTCTAGGAGGTTCTGATGTACACTGTCAGTCAAGAACCAACACACATAAAAAGTTAAATTAATTTAAACGAACTGAATGTTCCAGTTAACCAAGCAGGTTGGTGGGAGGAGTCAGCAGTTCCTGGTTAATCACTATACAATTAAGAGTAACATTTCAATTCTAATTGTTTTGGGGGTAGTGGAGTTAGAGCACACGTCTCTACTTATTTTCTTAAATACCAGGTTATATCAAAAGCCACAGATGTACAAGATACATGCATAAGTATGTACATACAAAACCACATAGTCACTGTAACAGCCAGTATATAACTAAACAGTCATAGAGACCGCCATGTTTGTAAACAGAAAACAAGAGGGAAAAAAAAAAAAAGGCAAAAGCAAATAAATCAAAATGTTAATAATGGTTATTTTAGGTAGTCTGATTAAGTGTAGTTTTAATTTTTCTTCCTACTTTTCTGTATTTTACAAGAGTATACTGTTTTTCCCTGATGGACTTTCATCTGCAACTTCGACCTCAGATGGTGGCTGCAGACTCCTGTCAACATGCAAACCTCCAGCAGTTTCTCAGTCGGCAGGACAAGGGAAGCATCACCTCAAGTGTGGAGATCACTTCCATCCTTCCGAAGCTCAAGGACACTCTTCTCTTGCTTCTGTGGAACTGAATTAGCTCCTGATACCGACTTAATTCCAAATTTGAGAGGCTGTGATGCATACCTCAGTCTAACAGGCAGCAGACAGTGGCTAAGCAGAAGTTTTCACCCCATGAATGACAGATAAAGAACACAAAGGTAAAGAATTCAAATCCTTACCTGGACCACAGGGTGACCGCCAGTCGGAGCTTTGACGGCCCCTCGGCTGCCTTCTGTCTCATAGTGGGCCCGGTGATGGGGCTTGGGCTGCACCTCGATTCGCAGCTCATAGGAGCCCGACTGGCTGGATAATGGCCACTCAAGTGGAGGGAGGGACGCAGTCACTGGGATGCTGGAGGAGGAACAGAAGCAGCCATGTGACACCTGTACACTAAACGTAAATGGCCCCTCTTCTGAATACCATGTCCCACAGGTGAGCCCCTGGTGTTCTCTTCCACCCTAAGTAACTCAGTATAATGTCATCTCAACTCACGAAGCAAATTTCAAAATATGTTAGTTGTATATTTCTAATAGTTATCACACTTCTTTTCCTCAGGAAATTTGGGAGAAAATTCAACTTCCATCTCTCAAAAACACCCCGTGGCCAGGAGGCACCACTGTTCAGTTTCCTAGAACCACATGGTAGATGGACCAGATGGCATCTGAGGCTTGGTCCAGCTCTTTCACTATGGTATATGATCTCAGTAAAAAGTACATTTTGAGGAAAGTAAATTTCCAATCACAGTCATTAATTACATGGCCATTACAACATTAATTATGCAAAGTCTCAGAGATCCATCTAGACCATTCCTTCTGAGCCTCAAAGAACTTATTTTCCCAAGGTCCTACTAATCAAGAGCCAAAGCTCCCACTCATGACTCTTGAACGCCCAGTCAAGTGCTCCATCCACATCTCTACACTGTCTCTTATTTTACCAAATAACTTATTTAAAACAGGTCCAAGAAAATAAAATATCCCATTCATAGAATGGCTGAGAAGACCCTCACAAGGGAACCTCTTTAACTCCACTAACCCAGAAACTCCTTTTGGGAGAACCAGTGATGACTGACCTACAGATACAATGGTGTTCTCAGAACGTGCTCTGAAGAAAGTGCCAGACTGGACTCTCCCTATGATCCATCTTAGTCTGGCACTGGAATGGACAGGGCCCAGTGGACAGGGCCCCTGGCCACCCTCATTCCCACATCAATCAAAACGGCTCTATCTTCGTTTATGATAGTCTTCAACTCAATGTTTTATTTGAAAAAGACGTTTCTACTTGTCAAATGCAAAAGCAGTTTGAAACCCAATGGGAGGCATTGTAACAGCGTAAGGCCTCAGATTCTTTATCTAACGCGGATAGAGTAATCCCTGCCCTCCATGGGCCTCATTTTTCTTCTCAAAATAAAGATAAAAATAATAATAAACCAGGTTTGTGTGAGAATTAAATGTAGTAACACAGAGTACTTAGAATTGTGGCTGGCACATCCTTAAATGTGGTGATGAATGTCACTACCATTCCTCTAAAGGCTACTATGAGCTAACTCTCCTAACTCAAGGCCTTTCAACAAGGAAGCACTTTTTACACATCAATTCTGCTGTAATAACAGCTGTCCCTTCTTCTGACTTCGTACTCCATGCAAGCTCTTGCCACAAGCTTGACAGATATCATTCTCACCTCATCCTTGAAAAAGCTCCATGAGGTAGGTACTGTTATTATCCTCATCTCACAAAGGACAAACCAAGGTCCTGAAAGGTGCTTGATGAGAAGGAGGGTTCTGATTGATTAGCAATGTCTGCCATGGGCATAGCCTCAGGCTGGTAGTATCAGCGACGCTCCCGATCACACAGCCAGTGAATGGCAGAGCCAGGACTCGAGCCCAGCCCCGAGAGACCCAGGCTCTACAGGCTGCAATCTCCGTGCTTGCAGGATTTTAAGCTCCCCGAGGACTACGGCTCACACATCACTTCAGAGTCTCCATCCATGTCACGGAGCACAGGGCTGAGGCATGTAGGACATGCCAAGCCAATACACAGCAATTCTTATAAGGATTCAGGAGAGTTTGTGCAGTAAGGCTTGCAACGTGCTTCTGGAACGTGGGCTTCATGAAGGCACAGCTTTGTGCCTGTTTTGTTCACCACTTTACCCCCAGTAATTATAACACCATAGGTGTCTGATAAATACTGATGGACTACATGAATGAACCTGCCAACCAATCAACCAGGTGCCGTATAAGGATGACCGCGCATCGGGGGACTGAGTTCTCACGGCAGTCTGGGGAGGCAGGGACACTCTCTACACCCATTTCACAGCCGTGCAGACTGCAGCCCAGACTTCAGTCTCCTTCTCGTGTCTCACAGCTAGTGAGCGGCAGAGCCAAGATTTAAACCTCTAAGTCCCACGCCTGCAACCAGAAAAACCTTCTCTTAAAACAAAACCACCGAATAAACCGTTTCCAACGCCGACTCACCTGCAGATGGGAATGGCAGGCACCAGTTGCTTGGGCCAAGTTGGCGGCACTAGCAAGATGGACTCGGGGGCCGAGTTTCTCCTCTCCTCTTGCTCACAGGGCCCCAGGAATTCCACGGCCGGGTAGATGTGGCGGGGCAGGCCCGCCTTGGACGGGGCAGCAGACACTGGCGACGGGTCGGGGCTGGTCTTCCACATCTTTGGGGGGATCCCGCACGGGGAGTCGGCCGTGAGGCTGTTCAGGGCATCCATGAGCACGGCAGAGCCAGCCGTGGGTGGGTACCCAGCTTGGGTACCGTCGTCCTGGGGGGCCACGTAAGGCAAGGGCTGCGGCGAAGGGCTCCGGGAGCGCTGGGGTGAGGCTCCGGGCAGCGGGGTAACCAAGGCCTCTGCGCACGAATGCCTCCGCTTGGCACCAGGCGACGAGGAGCGGGAGGCTGGACGGGGCACGGGCGAGTGGCGGCCCAGGCAGCTGTCCTCGACGAGGCTGGTTCGAGGTGACATTATTGGCGAAGTTCTGGGGGAATAATAATTAGCAGGGATGTTTTGAAACTGGGGACACAGGTCGTCGGGCCCGCCGTTATTGGGCGAGACGCAGGGCGAGGTGCAGGGGGAGAAGGTGTCGGAAATGAAGCTGGCAGAGGAACCGCTGCTAGCGGGGCTCAAGCAAAGCGGCTCGCGGTAGCCCTCAAAGCCGGGCACGGGCAGCGTGAACCTCGGGCTGGCGGCCGCGCCGGGCCCGGGCGCCTGCTCGACCACCAGGCCGGAGTCTCTCATGCGGATGGACCCCCCTGCCTGCATCAGTTCGTGGGACGGAGTGATCTCGATCCGAGGGCTCAGGCCCGAGGCCCCCGCTGGCTTGGCCGGGCTCAGCAGGCTCTGGGGCCCCACCCTATCCGGCTCTCCGAATCGGCCCAGGGGCTCGCCAGAGAGACTGGCGAAGGGGCTGTATGGCTTGAGGCCATAGTCCGGGACTTCATCGGGGTACGGGAGTCCGGAGGGTGGGCCGGCGACCTTATGTGCATTCGGTTCTTCTGGAAAGAGAAGGGGGGAGGGAGGGGTCTTTTTTAAGCCTCTAAAACATCACTCCTGGTGCACAACAGTCAGGGCGGGGGCTGGGGTGGGCGATTACTGCTGACCCCCCACCACTTCAAACCTCCATCCTCACCACAGGGAAAGGGGGCCGGCCCATCTATCTGTCCCTGAGTCCTGAGAGAGAGCGGAAAGTGGACCCATTTCAGGGCAGGCCACAGAGCCCAGCACATCCAGGCCATGCCATGCAGAAGTGGGGAGGCCTGGGACAGGCACCAGGGCACGGCGGCCACTAGTTTTCAAATACGGCCTCAGAAGAAATGTGTTTTATCCACAAGCCAGTTCACACCATCCCAGACGCCTGCAACTGAAGCAAGTCTCACAAACAATACTTACCAGCTACCTGCAATATACCCAGCTGGCTGCAATATACCCTTATCTCCCGGCCTGTGTTCCGGCACACTGTGCCTAACTGTTGGTCACAACCCATTAAATGGATTTGCTATCCTACCAATGGGTCATAACCCACAGAGGACAAAAACACTGACCTAGGCCAACCTAGTCATTCTACAGACGGGAAGACACAGCTGTAGAGGGCAGAGGCAACTAACTACAACAGCTTAGAGTCCACAGAGCTCAGGGTTCAAATCCCAGATGTTCATGCCCAAAGGTGGGAGGTGGCTTAACAGTAAGAACCAGGGCTCCTGACTCGCCTCTCATCTGTGCCATTTTACAGATGAGGAAACTGAGGTCCAGGGAGAAGAAGCAATTCACCCAAAGACACAGAGCCGGTGGGATTAGAAGTCCTACGGCCTCCGAAGGACAGAAGGACAGAGCTGTGGCTATGGAGAGTCTCCCAGACTATTAAACCCAGTGGATGAAAGGTGACTTTTTTTTTTTTTTTTAAATAGTGACCATCTGTCTCAGGCTTCTACTTCTACCTCAAAAGGGCCCACTGCCAGAAAATGTTGTTAAAGTAGATTTTTCTACGTCAACTGCCACAGGTCATTGCCACCTCTCACCTCACTCACACTGTCATTTGAATTCCTAAGTTTTTTTCTCCTCAAAGAGACTGGACTTGCCTCTTGACTTGTCACTGTTGACCCATGCCCTTCGCTGCACTCGCACAGGTCCAGGCATACAGGCCTCGTGGGAAAACTCTGTGAAAGCAGTGAGGGAAGAAGCCATTCATTCCCACCATCCCTCACACACAGGCCACATGGGAAATTCCTGCGGAATTAGTGAAGGAACCAACCACTCGTTTCCACCACCCTTCCCCTCACCTCGCATGCCCTCACTCAAGGCCCCTCCGCTCTATCAGTTACTTGGGTCGACACTGACTACCCCTCTCTGCCTCTCATACCTCATATCCAATCCATCAACAAATCCTGACTGCTCTCCCGTATAAACATAAACCAAATTTACTCGACAACCCCTCCGTGGTCCAAGCCGCCATTCTCTCCCGCCTAGACTATTGCAGTTGCCTTCTCTCTGGTCTCTCCACTACAGCGCTAGCCCCCACGTCTGTTTTCTACCTGGCATTCTTTTGAAATGTCCATTTGCAAAGGCTTTAAATGGGATCTGAAGTCTTTAACACAACTTGTCCCTTGGCCTCAGCCTGTCTTTCAGTCTCGCCTCTCCCTGACTCTTTGCCAAACTCACTCAGCTCCAACTCCACAGACATTTTGCTATATTTATCACACACTCTCCTGCTCAGAGTTCTTGAGTTTGCTGTTCCCTCTGTCTGGACACTCTGGCCCCAGGATCTTCAAATGGCTGGTTCTTCGAATTCCTTCATGTGTCTGCTCAACCAACAATCCCCCTAGACTGGCCCATCAAAAAGACTAGCTCCACCCTCACCTTGTGTCACCCTCCACCCCTCTTCCCTGCTATCATTTTCTCTGTGGCATCTGTTACCAGCTAATACCACATCAGATATTTGTCTGTTCGGGGAATTTCACCCCCACTAGACCACGTATCAGCATACTACAGCCCTTGGGTCATACAAACGGTTTTTGTACATAAAGTTTTATTGGAACGCAGCCACACCCATTTGTTTACGTATAGTCTATGGCTGCTTTCATGCTATAACAACAGAGGTGAGTAGTTGCAACAGAGACTATACGGCACGCAAAGCCCAAGATACTAACCCTTTGGCCCTTTACAGTACAAGTTGGTGACCCCTACCCTAGATAGTAAGCTCCACCAGGGCTGGAATCATGTCTTTTGTGGTTCACCATCGTTTGCCAAGCACCCAGCATGGCATTTGGCACTTGTAGGCCTTCTATAAACATTCGTGGAGTGACTGGGTCAATGAATAATGAATTGAAAGAATCAAGTTCAAGGGCTTGCCCAGCTAGAAATGGGAGCTCTTCTTGAAGTCATGTGATTGGCTGCAGCTGAGATGGTCTGGCAGGCAATCCGTACCCTCCTTACTGCCCTTTCCGGGCCATGCAGGAGGAAGTGCCAGTCAGTTTAGCTGAACTGATACCATAGGGTCCAGGTGGTGCTCCCACCCCAGCTAAGAGCTCAAAAATGGTTGCTGCCCACAGCTCCTACGTGGTGCTAAACAGCCCTAGCCAGGCTTGCCTGGCCAGCCCTGCCCGCCCCTCCAGCCTTGCCTCTTTCCACTCACTTGCCTCTCTCTCTGGACTGCAGCCAAAATGACCTTCTTTCTAGTCTTAGGAAACACTCAGCTCTGGCCTGCCTCAGGACATTTGCACCTGCTGTTCCCTCTGCCTCAACCACACAGCCTCTACTCCTCCCCACTCACGGTCCCCTGTTCTGCTCATGTGCTCCTCACAATTCCAATTAGGTCACCGTGAAGTTTCTTGTTTCTAATCTCTCTCCATCACCCTCCAGCCCCACTCCCACCAATCAGTATGTTCCATGAAGATGCACTCACCCCCCCCCACACACACACACACACTGTATTCTCAGCACCTCCAACAGAACCTGGCTGAAAGCAGACTCTAAGAAAGTATTTATTGGTTGGCTGAATGAATGAACGAAGTGAGCTCAGAAAAGCCTATTTAAAATATTTAAACTAGCACTCAAAGGTCTTTAATATCCAACTCCAAAGGTATAAAGATACAGCTTACGGACAGGGTAATTTGCTAATATCTATGAAAATTCCAGGAGCTCTGGTGGTGTAATGCCTAAGGCATCTGACTGCTAACCAGAAGGCTGGCGGTTCAAACCCACCAGCCACTCCTCAGAAGGAAGATAGTCTACTTCCGTAGTGATACTGCCTTGGAAACCCAAGGAGAGGTCGCTATGAGTCGGGTCGACTCGACGGTACAATAACAACAACAATCAAAATCCCAAACACACGTCTCCTCGAAACAAAGCAAAGCTACTTTTAGGGATTTTCCCTGCAGATGTATTCTCATTGCATAAAATGGGCTGCACACAAATTAGTCCCTGCAGCTCTGTTCCAAGTCAGAAAAGACTAGAAATCACCTTGGTGGCAGTGGAGGCCAGTGAGTCAATTCTGACTCATGGTGAGCCCATGGATGCAGAGAAGAGCTGCTCCACAGGTTTCAAGGCTGGGACCCCTCAGAAGCAGACGTCTAGACCTATCTTCCCAGACAACTGTGGGTTCAAATTGCCAGTCTTTCAGCTAGGAGTCGAGAGCTTAATCCCTTGTGCCACCCAAGGACTCCAGAAACAACCTAATGAAAATCCATCAGTTGGAAAAGGGTTAAATTCTGGTTTATTCATACAATGGAAAACTAAGCAGCCATGAAAAAGAACAGAGGTATTCTTTCTGCACTGATTTGGAATGACTACCAAGATACAGCATTAAAAGAGCAAGGTGCGTCAACAGTGTGCATAGTATAAAAAGGGAGGACAGAGAATTGTGTAGACACACGCACATACACACACACATACAACTGCTCACAGGCACACAGGTTTACTCTGGAAGTACAAGCAACAGTGACTTCCTCTAGGAAGGGAAACTAAGTAATTAGGGGACAGTAGGATGGCACAAGTGGTTAAGCACTTGGCCACGAACAAAGGGTTAGAAGTTCAAGTCTACCACGAAACACCTCGGAGGAAAAGCCTGGCAACCTACTTCTGAAAAATCAGCCATTGGAAACCCTACGGAGCATCCACGGGGTCGCCATGAATGGGAATCAAATGTATGGCAACTTCTTTTGTTGTGGGTTTTGTTGCTTTCAACATGGCAGAAAGGCAACTTTGTGATTCATCACGTAGGATATCCCTTAGCTACTCCCACATAACAACATTCCCAAAAGAAGCTGGTAGTGGGAAGTGGCACATGAGCTATAGTAACGAAACCCTGGTTTCGACAGCAGGAAATCAAGAACTAGTCCTGCTCTGTCACTGAAATGGCTGTGTGGCCTTGGAAAAGGCTTCAGCCTTCTCAGGCTGAAACAGACTGCGTTAACTGGATGACTCTGTGGTCACGCTAGCTCTGAAACCCTTTGACGGTTGTAGTTGGAATCTATATGGCATGGCCTCTTATGAAGCCAGTTCTATACAAAATCGTATTTGAGCACACGCACACGTGTGCTTATGCATCTTCCTTGCAGGTAACTGAGAACAGACTTTAAATGTTGGAAAAGATCAATATTAAATCCATGTCTGACAACATTCTGAGAATGCACCACCCCTAGAACCAGCAAAGCCAAACACAAAAAATGCCAAAAAAAAAAAATCCCAGCCTTATCAGAAAAAGTGTACTTCATCTTATCAGAAACACACCCTCAGGGCTGATGTGAAAAGTCCCAGCCATGCACTCATGAAAACACTCACACCCTCAGGGACATTTACACCCAGCGTCCCAGTGGGTGCACAAGGCGACAGTATTTAAAGCATGCACATTGGCTCCATTCATCTCAGCAGCTGAGTTTTTGCTTTTTCTTACTGTTCTCCCAAGGACTTTGGAAGCTTCACAGCAAGTAGACCACATGAAGGTAACTTACTTGTGTAACTCTCAGTCCTCTGGGCGTTTGACAGCAGATTTTAGAAACGC